GGAGTTCAGACGTGTGCTACGGCGAGAATCGACGTTTGAGCGGTGGGAACGTCGCGGGCGCTCGGATCCGGCGGTTCCGCGCTTCGCACGTCGAGATTCGACGTTTGAATGGTGGAAACGCCGCGAACGCAAGGATACGACGTTTCCGAGCTTCAAACGGCGAGAATCGACGTTTGAGCGGTGGGAACGTAGGCCTTGTCGACTAAGTTGTATGCTATACGAAGTTAGTATGCTATACGAAGTTTAGCTTCAAACGGCGAGAATCGACGTTTGAGCGGTGGGAACGTCGCGGGCGCTCGGATCCGGCGGTTCGGCGCTTCGCACGTCGAGATTCGACGTTTGAATGGTGAAACGCCGCGAACGCAAGGATACGACGTTTCCGAGCTTCAAACGGCGAGAATCGACGTTTGAGCGGTGGGAACGTCGCGGGCGCTCGGATCCGGCGGTTCGCGCTTCGCACGTCGAGATTCGACGTTTGAATGGTGAAACGCCGCGAACGCAAGGATACGACGTTTCCGAGCTTCAAACGGCGAGAATCGACGTTTGAGCGGTGGGAACGTCGCGGGCGCTCGGATCCGGCGGTTCCGCGCTTCGCACGTCGAGATTCGACGTTTGAATGGTGAAACGCCGCGAACGCAAGGATACGACGTTTCCGAGCTTCAAACGGCGAGAATCGACGTTTGAGCGGTGGGAACGTCGCGCGCTCGGATCCGGCGGTTCGCGCTTCGCACGTCGAGATTCGACGTTTGAATGGAAACGCCGCGAACGCAAGGATACGACGTTTCCGAGTTCAAACGGCGGAATCACGTTTGAGCGGTGGGAACGTCGCGGGCGCTCGGATCCGGCGGTTCGCGCTTCGCACGTCGAGATTCGACGTTTGAATGGTGAAACGCCGCGAACGCAAGGCTGAGTCGACAAGGCACACAGGGGATATACGACGTTTCCGAGCTTCAAACGGCGAGAATCGACGTTTGAGCGGTGGGAACGTCGCGGACGCTCGGATCCGACGTTTCCGAGCTTCACACGTCGAGATTCGACGTTTGAATGGTGGAAACGCCGCGAACGCAAGGATACGACGTTTCCGAGCTTCAAACGGCGAGAATCGACGTTTGAGCGGTGGGAACGTCGCGGGCGCTCGGATCCGGCGGTTCCGCGCTTCGCACGTCGAGATTCGACGTTTGAATGGTAGAAACGCCGCGAACGCAAGGATACGACGTTTCCAAGCTTCAAAACGGCGAGAATCGACGTTTGAGCGGTGGGAACGTCGCGGGCGCTCGGATCCGGCGGTTCCGCGCTTCGCACGTCGAGATTCGACGTTTGAATGGTACGTAATAACTTCGTATAGGCAGTACATTATACGAAGTTATACGATTTTGAGCGGTGGGAACGTCGCGGGCGCTCGGATCCGGCGGTTCGGCGCTTCGCACGTCGAGATTCGACGTTTGAATGGTAGAACGCCGCGAACGCAAGGATACGACGTTTCCGAGCTTCAAACGGCGAGAATCGACGTTTGAGCGGTGGGAACGTCGCGGGCGCTCGGATCCGGCGGTTCGGTTCCGCGCGCACGACGTCGAGATTCGACGTTTGAATGGTAGAAACGCCGCGAACGCAAGGATACGAAGTTATTACGTTTCAAACGGCGAGAATCGACGTTTGAGCGGTGGGAACGTCGCGGGCGCTCGGATCCGGCGGTTCCGCGCTTCGCACGTCGAGATTCGACGTTTGAATGGTGGAAACGCCGCGAACGCAAGGATACGACGTTTCCGAGCTTCAAACGGCGAGAATCGACGTTTGAGCGGTGGGAACGTCGCGGGCGCTCGGATCCGGCGGTTCCGCGCTTCGCACGTCGAGATTCGACGTTTGAATGGTGGAAACGCCGCGAACGCAAGGATACGACGTTTCCGAGCTTCAAACGGCGAGAATCGACGTTTGAGCGACTGAGTCGACAAGGCACACAGGGGATACTCGGATCCGGCGGTTCCGCGCTTCGCACGTCGAGATTCGACGTTTGAATGGTGGAAACGCCGCGAACGCAAGGATACGACGTTTCCGAGCTTTCAAACGGCGAGAATCGACGTTTGAGCGGTGGGATCCGGCGGTTCCGCGCTTCGCACGTCGAGATTCGACGTTTGAATGGTGGAAACGCCGCGAACA